TATTGTTTTTTGTCTTTTTCTGAGTAAATAAGAACGGCAATTGTCCTTTCATTGATATAATAGAGAGTTTGTGCTTCTTCGAACGTTAAAGCACTATCGACCTTCTGTGCATGCGCAGTTCACGTTTCGCATCACGTAAGTGCAACTGCGCATGCGCAGAAGATCGATAGTACTGTCCGCTACGGCGTGCACAAACTCCCTATTAGTTCAGTAGTTGAATATAAGAAACATTCGAAACGATCTGCATTTTATATGAAACGTATAAAATGCAGATCCTTTTGTAATAACACCAATTATTGTTATTAATTATGTTGTAATATTTACAATAAATATAAATATTAATAGAATTGAAAATGATAATGAAAATAATTAAAAACATTTCTTTTTATTTTGAGATTCATAATCATATACTTTCGTGACCCAATGCGAAATGCCATTCATCTTTTGATGAATCATTAGACAATCTACGACAAAATGCACCGACATAAGTTAATAGCCTGCACGTTTATATATTAATAACTCAAACCCTTCAACGATTTGAAATTTGAAATTGAATGTTCAGAAATCGGGAGGTGCATGAAAGGATATTTCAGATATTTTCGTTAAACACGGATGAAAATTAATCCTTTTTAAAAATATGAAAGGCGCGTGGCTGGTTGCAATCGTTACCTAATTATCGTCTCTAGTGGTCTGCAGCAGCAAAATCCCTGTTGAAAAAATCACAAAATATTTTCAAACAGAAGCACGTACACTGCTGCAGAACAACAAATAAAACACTTACGTAAGTGCAATTAATTAAATATTTTTAACAAAAACTCTTCACGGATACATTACTTTATTGTGCAGTGTATATGCAGTTCAACATTTATTTACATAACAAAATATTAAAAAGTTACTGTTCCATAACGCAACGCGTGATTAGCAAATGTTTAACGGCGGACAGACTCTTCCTTAGATCTGTGCTGTCGCATGATGTCATAAGTGGTGACGCACTGTGTAAGAGAATTCAGTCTGCATGCGTAATATATAGTATAAAAACAATCACAGCATTTTTCAGTCCAAATCGAAACTTCTTCTTTGCTTTTGGAGATTTCTCGAATTCCTGGGTACCTTTCCAAACCAAATGACCCCCTTTCAAGTGGCTGGAGGCTCTACAGTTTTCTTTCAATTTCTGTGTGGATTGGGGATGAGTAATACAGATTATTACTGAATATTTAGTTAGCTTTGATTTTCAGTTTCAGTATACCTGCCGGTAAATATTTAGCTTTTTCTCGAAGACATTATCCAGACAATTTACATAATTTTTTAGACAAAAACTATTTGTTTATTGTTCAATTTGTCTGCACCCAAAATTTTGAAAAAGCTTATTCGTGGATATAGTTCAATAGTTTGTTTACGTAATAAGTAATTATTCCAATATGAAGATGTTTAGTTCAATGTTATCTTCACTGGCATATTAATACTGCGAATCCTTGAACGGGAACGTCAGTTGTGGTATCTAAAGAACTTCACCTCCACGGTCTCCGCTACTAACAATAATTACTCACAACTATAATTACCACTCGTTGCATCCCGTTCCTCGAATTACGACGACAATGTGTTTAGAAGGATTCCTCCCGAAGGCTTGTGATTTTGCTTTTGTCCGCCAGGGAAATGAATGGCGTGTGCATCATTTTTGTAAGTAGCTCCCTGCAGCGGTCGAGGCAGAAAATACCCTTAGCTGGGCCAATGCGTCTTCATTATTCAACACCAGGCATTCGTGTTGGGAGCGTCCCCCAGCCGGGCTTGGCGTGATGAGCCTAGCATTTTTCTTCAGCGCGCTGTGCTTCCATTGCCAATTATTGGCAATTAGAGAAGAATCCTTGACAAAATTTTAATTTTCTTCTTTCACTGGACGTTTGTAAATTACAATGCAATACATAAGGGTCGACTTATTGGGGTGTTTTCGGTATAAATAGCGTTTCCTTCGTTAATCATCTCGTATGCCGTTCTGAATTTCCTGAGTTACTTCTCACTAGGCACGATTTTGCACTGACGTCATTGTATTCAGTGTTCACCCCCACACAACAAAACCGTTCGAGGAGTCAGGTTATTCACTCTGAGTTATGCCTTTCTGAGACTGTCTTCTTGTTCGATACTGCGTGACCTTCGATGCCGATAAAGCGAATCTCGACTCGCGACCCGCAGATTATATTGCGTTGCAATGTTTCCAGTTCGAAGGTTATCTTACGCGTTTCTCGTCGTCATGTCAATGTTATCCATGCCAGGCTCCACATTTGTATGTAACGCCCCTTCAAACGCCCGTCAAATAAATTCATAACTTGTTGTACATTTTCACCATATCTGATTCTTGTATGGCATTCATTTTTAAGAACATTGTATTGTTATTTTTTAAATTATTTCTACTACTTTCACACCAAAAGTGCCCATAAAGCCCTACTAACTATTCTCAATTTCCGTCCATCCGGTTTACCTTCGAAAACCAACATGGTAGGGCATATTTTCGAACATGAAAGTAAAAAGACGAATGTATTGATTGTGATTGAACTTTAATGGCAATTTGTAATTATTACAGATGTTGTGTATGCCGTGTCGATTTTCTTCCTTTATACCACATACGGTGTTTAGGAAATGCAAAATGGGTGCTCCTTTTGCCGCGAAATCGATATTAAACCTGTTTTGAAACGTAATACGATTCTATGAAGAACATATGCCAGAGCAACAATCTACACCACGGGTCAGGAATCGGGACGGAGTATGACACCATCTTCTAAGGAAGGAAGGCTAATGTTGTTGAAGACAATGTTATGGTTTTAAATATTTCATTACCTTAAACGATTGGTCTAAATTAGGGTTTTCCAACCTTTTGTTTCATCGATCCCTTTTAAAAGAATCGATTGCTTCATATGCCGCTTCACGTTTTCTCTATAATTTACAGCATCCATCGTAGCACAAAAATTGCCACAAACTACTTGCAGATAACATACCACATTCCACATACCAAAATTTTCGTAAATATCTCGATTTCCAATAACCAGAGACGTTCCCGCTTCTGAGTAGCTTAGTTTCTAAACCCGATTGTTGTGCAATCTTTACAAATTAATATATATTTTGTATATTTTTGGCTGTTTTATTTCGGCAATGCGTATCATGGAGAATATTCTGATGCGCGATGGAATAACGTGAATACATATAAAACTAGTCATATTTTTTTGATTTTCTTTACTTTCTAATGATGAACGGAAAAAGAGTGAATTCGCAATTATTGTTTGGATTAAAAGATCTTTAATCATTGTGTGGTCTTAGATATTGTGATATTTATATCAGAAAACAATTATCAACCTACTAAATTTTTTTGTGTCATCTATGTGATTTTTTCTTTATTATATGTATCAGTCTCTAGTTCTTATTCAGCTATTGACCCTTAGTGGACCCCTTAATCTTCATTGATGATGGATGAAAATTGTATGATATGATTAAAGTTGTATCGACCTTCATGGAGTCGATACCGACCCCGTTGTGAAACTCTGGTCTAAAGAAACAATGTACTCTAGTCATTCGCTCTTCCTCTTCGCGTTTAGTTAAAAATAGTTGAAATACTCGTGTATACTTGTGCTCTCCCATGCTAGTTGCGACATTTGTGCGACATTTGTACTACTATTCTTGAGTGTGAGATTTAACATTTCTAATTAAACATCACAGATTTTTTATCATTCGTAGTTAAGTCTGCGTCGGAGGTCTTGCAAAATAAAATCACCCTACTCTTCAAATATCCATCTATATAGCATTATTCGGCGCTTTGCCCAAAATTTAATCTCTGCTTTCTGAGGCTAATAAAAAACTGCACAAAAATCTTCAATTTCATGTGTGTATGTGGTGTGTGTGTGTGTGTGTGTGTTGAGAGATAGGGAAGAAGAGTGGGCGATTGTGCACGTGAAAGGACGTTGCTTGCAGATTTTATTCTGATTTGAGTGAACTTAGAGTTTTTTGTATGAACTACCAAAATAGCATAATAATCGTTAAGTTACTGTAATTGTTCATCCAGTTATACCCGCAAGAAGGGCAGAGAAAAAATTTCCAGAATGCTGACTGTAGCCAATTTTATGATTCTCCGTAAATTTGTTTTCGATCGGGTCAGAGATCCAGCCTTACATTTGTTTATTACTCGTAAAGCAAAATGCAAATTTTAAACTCATTCTTCTTTTGACAGAGGTACCTGTTGTATTGTTATGAATAATAAGACGGAATAATTTTGCAATGCTTGTATTAGAAACGTACAGGATTAGTTAACTTTTATTGTAACGAAGTATTTTTAAAATACAAATAACCAAAACGAACGTTTACATACATCGCTTCCTGGTAATGACATTTCTCGCGTATTTCCTGTTTCGTGTTTATTCTTACTTTTCTTCTATTGAAGTTCTTTGTATCGTGAGTAAATCCGTGTGCAGAGAGTAGTATTCTGGAATCCTATTGGAGAAACGTTCGTCAGCGTTCTGGAATGCGTGCAAGTGTTCTGGTGCTCGTGGTTGGGTGCCGGCACGGTATCCCATCCCAACTCCTGCCATCTCGTTGCGCCTTTCCTCGCGCTTCAACCCCACCTCACCAGACGCCTCTTTCCACGTCTCTTCATATGCCTCTCCTCCCCTAATTCCACGTTACCTCACAGTACTTCTCGTCACCCCACTGTTTACCTCGTGCCTTGCCCAAATCAAGCACCCAATACCAGACGCGTAACTCACCCCTGCCTTTCTGCGCATTTCTCCCTTGTGCACCCCACGACTCACTTGGCGCTTCATCCCGCCTCACTCCACTTCGTCCCCGTCCTCGTCCCCGTCCCCTTTCGCTTTCCCCGCCCTGCCGCGCCTCTCCCACTCGCAGCCCCCACCACGCAGCCTGGCAGCCAGCGCACGTGCGGTGGCGTGACGGGCGGTTTGCATTGCCTGTTGCAGGGTCTCCTATGACGTGACGCGGACTGCCTGAGGAGCGAGTCGGGCAGCATGCGCGGCGCCGCGGTGCTCGTTTTGCTGGGCCTGAGCCTGGGGATCGTCGGCTCCGGCTCGGCCAATATTGTGAAAAACTTCACCGACGATGGGACGGAGCGCTTCAACCACCTGGTGGTGGACAAGAACACCGGCCGCGTGTTCATCGGGGCCGTCAACCGGCTGTATCAGCTGTCGCCCGACTTGGAACTGGTGATGCGCGACATCACCGGTCCCGAAGAGGACTCACCGGAATGCTCGGTACTCGACTGCCCTCCCGCGGTCGTCAAGAAACCGACCGACAACGTGAACAAGGCCCTGGTCATCGACTACACGACCACCCGCTTGATCTCGTGCGGGAGCGTGTTCCAGGGCATCTGTTCCGTGCGCAACTTGCACAATATCTCGGACGTAGCCCAAGTGGTGAAGGAGGCGGTGGTGGCCAACAACTCCACGGCGTCCACGGTGGCTTTCATCGCCCCGGGCCCGCCCAACCCGCCCGTCACCCAGGTCATGTACGTGGGCGTCACCTACACTGGTAATTCCCCGTACCGCTCGGAAGTGCCGGCAGTGTCGTCCCGCAGCCTGGACCGCGACAAAATGTTCATGATCGCGGAGACCGCCGTCACCACGGGGACGAGGATGTTCGTGAACTCGTTGGCGCGGGAGCGCTACCCTATTCACTACGTGTACGGCTTTAGCTCGGAGGGCTTCAGTTACTTCCTGACGACGCAGATGCGCCACACGTCGCCCTCGCCCTTCATCTCCAAGCTAGTCCGCGTGTGCCACGACGACGAGAATTACTACTCCTACACGGAAATCCCGATCGACTGCATCGCCGAGAGCGGCAAGCGCTACTACAACTTGGTGCAGGCGGCGTACGTAGGGAAGCCCGGCTCCGACCTGGCGTCCGACCTGGGCATCACCGCGCAAGACGACATGCTGTTCGCCGTCTTCTCGGAGAACGACCAGTCCGAGGGCGAGGTGTCGAGCAAGCCCAGCGACTACAGCGCCCTCTGTGTGTACTCCCTCAAGTCCATCCGCAGGAAGTTCATGCAGAATATCAAAAAGTGCTTCAGTGGCAACGGCAGCCGCGGGCTCGACTTCATCTCTCCCAGCCACACCTGCGTTTTGACGGTGAGTACTGATTTCTTTTTCTCCAGTAGAGATGGAATGACTTCGTTTTTTGCGATAGTTGCATGATTAGTGACAAATGGTTTTTGGAGGTTCTTCGTACAATATTTATAATAGATCATCAATCATAGATCATTCAAGTACAGGTAATTAGACACGGACAGTATGTACGGAACATTTTTCGTCTTAGTCTAGAAAATAGTGCGAATATTGTGAAATGCGAAGTAACTGTTGTTTTAGTCCCCTGTATAATTTACAATGTCCGGCTTTTGAGTCCACAATTTATGGATACTGAGTGAGGTCATGAACTGTTTAATCTTGTCTCTCGTTTCTTTGTGTGCACTAGAAAACAATGGAATTTGGGGAGAAAACAGTTAGTCTACAAAAGTTATTTACTTGGCATGCTGCTGAATGTCCGATAGGTTGACGTAGTATGTGGACAAGTAAATTTGGGCCCACATGGACTGCATGAGACTGAGGGGCAGCATTGCCGAACACGCTTTCAACGACATACTAGTTTTTGAACGTGGATGTTAGGTAAACTTAGGAATTGTTTTCTTTTCTGTCAGCGTGTACTCAAATGCCTCATATTATACAGTAACTTCCATGCTTTTCTGATTATTTATCTTTTTTTCGTAATATTCTTTTTTGTCGGTTATCTTACCTTATTTATTAAGCGGTTTGACAGAAAATTAATTTGTAAAAAGTAAAATGTATCCTTGCACCCGTTGTAGTTTTCACATCTGAGATCGCCGGAACATGTACGAGGCGCGTTAGGTCGATGATGACGCAATTCTGCCTGTAAACAAGCTGATAAAGATAAATGATGATATTTCCAGGAAAATTTACATTTATAGGAAATGATAGTCTTCCCGTTCCACACACATCGCTTGTGTTAGCGATTCTCTTCCCATACATGACGGTCACTAGAATGACGCAAGCCTTGTTTTGGCGTTACATTTGTATTATTGCCTCAGTCTGAGTCCTCACGATAAGGTTTTCTAAATTTAATATATTAATTATTATTAAGGGGGCTCCAAAAGTATTTACTCGTCTAAAATCCACTTTCATACTTTGATACACAATTGTTTACTTACACTCTTTCCTTTGTCGCTATGGTGCAGAACAGTCTCGCTTTTTGTGAGTAGAATATGGAATAAGAGCTTAAATAACACCCTACGTTATTCTTGTATGCATTCAGTCATTTATATCCGGTAAATTATATTCCTTTTGGAGAAATTCTTTTCTCTCTTGCCTTCTGGATTTTTTTGACGTGTTGGCTGGCGAATCAAAAGAACAAAACTCCAGTATGAAGGATTGCAACTAAACGTACTTCTGAATTTCGGGATTAAAATGCTTATATTTCGACACATTCTATAAGAATTTTTTGGAAATTTTGAGGAAGTTTGTCTTCACTGTTTTGACAACATTTAATTTACGTTGAATATTCAGTTTCCGTTGTAATTAGTTATTTTATGAGATTTGCCAAGAGATAGTCTAATTAAAGCATTTGCCAAATTCCAATTCATTCGCCAAGCATTCACAAAATACTAGCAAATAGTAATTGATCAGTATTTTATTATTCTTTTGTGCAATCGTTAGTAGAATATTAAGAACAAATATTAGTTTACGTTCGTTATGAAATAACCTTAAATTAACATCTGTTGACTCGTCTTAACGTGAATGGGGGACAGTGAGTCTATGGTATAAATGTCATTCACACCTTTCAAGGTCTAAGAAAATTATCTTTTTTTCCAGCCGTCTAATGCATTGTACATTTTTTGTAAGAGTATCATATACCAAACAATCGGTACACGCGAGCAGCGAAGTTTCATCAAAAAGATATTTTGCAGCTAGGCCAAGGAACCGCGTGCGCCATTATCGTCTTGCGATGAATCGCAAACTGGAAGCGCCCACCGCACGGACCATGCGGTGAAGGCGTTGTCTGGATCGAGATGGCTGTCTGGGTTCCTCGGCGCGTGGCCGGGCCAGTTGCTCTGAGGACGAGCACGCGCATCGCGATTGTCCGTCAGCGCGCGTATCGTAATCCCTGGCTCGTTGGCGCGTGCTCGCGGCGTCGACCCGAAAGTAGGGCTGCGGCCGGCGGCGGCGGCGGCGGTGGCGGCGGCGGCGGCGGCGGCGGGAGCTTTCAACGGGTGCGGTCGCCGGCGGAGGCGGCGCGGTGCTGCGGCCACGTCAGAGCGCGTGCACAATAGCCCGCGAGCGAGCGCCTCTGTCCCCTCCCCCCGCCGCCGCCGCGGGTGCGTCATCCCGCACGCGTGCCGCCCCGCGCCCGTCCCGCGGTAGCGCGACGTCGCCTTGTCTTGCGTGGCGGCGATGACCGGCGGAACGCTGCCGACGCCGCCGCTTCCGAGAACGCACTGGGAGGGCCGCGCCCAGGTGCTACCCGCCGGCCCCCGTCGACGCGCCCTGAGGACGGCCTAGACATCCCGGTTTTTCAGTTGCCCGCTTGCGATGGGTTCTGTAGTGTTTGCGGGCGCGTCTGTTGCTGTGCGCGTTAGTCCGGTACGTGTTGTGCATGGTGTATCCCGGGAGGTAGCGGTGTTCCTATCCCGGCCGAATGCGAGGTCTCCTTCGCGTCAGCGTGTGTTTTTACTCTCCAGGTATCTCCTTCAGTTGGTACCGCCCTCTCGGGACGAGTTGTCAGGTTCCAACTAGTCTCCCAACATGTGTGTTATTCTAGTGTGTGTAGTAGTATCTGAATTGGGTTATTCTGAGCGTCCCAATTCTCGAACAAAACACATTATGGTGGACAGAATTTTTTTTCAGTATATTAAAATCTTAAAAGTTAACTTCTGTTCAGTTCCTGATATGTTCGGTTGTTAACTCAATTCGGAAAGAATGTCATATATGGGGGACAAGAATGATTAAATTAAATTAAGTGAAGCATTATAAGCATAAAATTTGAAGTATTATATAAAATATACAAAATTTCTCATTGCTGATAATAATAAAAATATAGATAAATAGTTACCGACCTACACCTATTTCATTATTTGACTTGTACTTACACAAGCACGTTTTCCACTTTAATAAATTTAGCTTCCTTTTCAACGCACTTTATAATTCCATGGAATGAAGACGCCAATGTGTTATCAACTAGCGTTACTGTCTTAGAAGCATTCCTACATTTCCTATATCAGCGAAAAATACTAAGTAGCATACATTATTATTTTCGCTGAGTATAAAATATAGGACGGGTCATTTCTGGTGTTAGAAAACCCCCTAGTGTGTACTGCACAATGAGGTCTAGAAATATTTTTCGCTTTGCTGAGAAATGTTTCGTTACTGCACATCTTTACGAATTTGCACGAAGGCTGCGTTAGGATTTTAAAATTAGTCGAAAGCTTTCTGAGCGTGCATCCATGTCCCCAAGACGAAATTGTAAATGATTTTTTTTTGGTAACTTTAAGAGGAACATTATGGTGTGTTTTTTACCACTGAAATGACTCTCTCGGAATACATACATCATAAAGTGTACATCATTTATTAAATTCCAAAGTTGATATCGGTTGCTTTTCGTGTTCAATGATACGTTCTAATAAGAAAAGCTAATTTCGAAAACCTCAAAATTTTAATCTCGAAAGCGTACGGTTTGTGTAAAAAGACTTGTTCACTGCTCTTTGTGGGTTCTTTTCGAGGTGGGAAAAACAACTATTTGGGCTAAACTCGCAAACGTCACCAAGGGGAAATCGACTTTTAATGTTCGAGCGTGTATTAAAAAAGAAAGCTCGCTTTGAGGTGCTAGTCTTCGGTGTTTAACCTATGGTACGTAGCCCAGCCGTCTCTACAGAAGCGTGGTGCATCTGAGCGTATGCGCAAGGCGGGATCCGTGAGCTGCCACGGCTGCAAGAGGCGCGAAGACCGGTGTCGGGCAGCACCGCGGTTTCCCACACCATAGAGAAACCCACCGCCGCTTTCGCGTCGTCGTCAGCGGCGCCGGCGCCGGCTCCGGCTCCCCGGCGTCGCGGCGCCCACTTCTGGGCACGCCGCTCGCGCCTGCTTGTGCTTCCCAGCGCGAGGCCGCGCGTGCGGGTGCGCGTGCGGGTGCTTGTACGGACGACTGCGCCGAGCCGACTGAAGTCACTGGCTGATGCGCTGTTTTGTTTGGGTTCTTTGCGGATGTAGGCGATTCACGTGCGGTTCGCAGCAAACACTGTCACCAGACGATGCCACTTTTGTGTCTCAGCTCGTTGGAATGGTAGAGTAGACGCGGCAGAAAATTCTCCTTCGAAAAGGAAACGGCCGTGTATTTGCGACGCGATTTATGATGACTGCTAGATAGAATAGAATTAAAGTTTTGTACTTGGACTATAATTATTAAATGACACTTTCAATTCATATAGAATATATTTTTTATTCAAATAGAAAAACTTGCATGATTTCGGCTCATTGTTACATTCACTTGTTCGGTTCCGATTTAATTTTAGCAACTTAATTTATTTGAAATTTGCAGTTTCCAATCTGTGACAAAGTATTCCAAAAGCTGATACTTGTGCGCTGTAAGGCACATGTTAATAATAATTTTTATGAGTTTAAAACTACTTCAGAACTTCACAAACCTAGGCGTCCCTTTTTGCCTTTTGAAGCGATGCAAAGAAAATACATTCCCTGCAGTCGGATTGCTATTGTAAATCCTGTTATCAAAGGCCAATGTCTACATTCCGTGATAGTCGTAATTAACTTACAGTTTAAAGCTATTAATCATTGCTTTCAATTTTATTTTAAATTAGAGTATGCTTAATTCTAAGGGAATCTTATTTGTTTTGTTGTTGCGAATATTGGAAAGTGAATATGGAATCACGTAATATGTGGTGCTTTCACAGAATACTTGTGTTAGTTCCATTGCAAACCCGACTAGTAGATTTTATATTGCTGCCTAAGGGTAACTGGCGTAAATTTACAGGAAGGAATCGAACTCCCTTTTAATGATTCATTATAGTGAATAAGAACACAATTTTATTGATTTAATTCTAAATTTAAGTACATCTCCGAACGTTTGTCAAAAATATTGTACTAAAAGTAGTGTTATGCTAATTGCAGATTAT